GCAAATGTTTTGAAAATGGTGATGGCAACAAATGTACAAATGTGCTTGACACAATGGATGTATGTATGGATTATGCTAAGAGTTGTACGAGCCCCCAATAAAATAATTTTTTTAATGTCATATAGAGGAAGAGCCAAGTCCCAGAATCTACTTTCTAGGGCACAGAGAAGGGTAAAAGTGCTGGTGGTTGGGCCTAATACCTTCCCCCAAAGACTCAGAAGATTGCATCATCCGAGGTCTAGCAGAACAGTAGCAAGTTGGGTGTAGGCTGGAGCCTTTAAGGAAAGATCATGAACTTGCACTTCTTTTTGCTTGCTCAAAGTCTGAACAAATGGATCAATAACACAAGGGACAATTATGATCCTCATTAGTGTTAAAGCGTGTATTGGAGACTATGGTTTGCATCTGCATTAGAAAGACTTTGGTACTTGTAACACTGGGAAACACTCGGCCTCTAGAACCTATACCCCTAAGTGTGCTGCAAGGCTCATGGCTGTTAAGAACCCATTCTCTGTCCTGTGGATCAACTTCCAGGAAGGAGAGGACTGTATGTGCCCTATTTATCTTCCAAATTGACAGTCAGTTAAGTTATCCCACTTCTCCAGGATCAGTGGAGACCAGTCAAGAGTGTTAGATTAACAAGAAAATACACATCTGGGATTGGGGGGGCGGGGGGAAGACAAGGCGATTCTGATAGCATATGCATCCTGCAGACATCTAGGAGTTTCAACAGATCCTTTTCTTCTCTGTTTCAGATATCTGGACCATTACTTAGAGGAGTTCATAGTGTCTGCTGATAAATACTTCATGGTGGGCCACAAAGCCATCTTTTATGTCATGGTGGATGATATCACCAGGGTGCCCTTGGTGGAGCTGGGTCCTCTTCGGTCATTCAAAGTGTTTGAGGTCAAGCCTGAGAGGAGATGGCAGGACATCAGCATGATGCGCATGAAGACCATCGGGCAACACATTGTGGGCCATATCCAGCAGGAAGTCGACTTCCTCTTCTGCATGGATGTGGACCAGGTTTTCCAAGACAACTTTGGGGTGGAGACCCTGGGCCGCTCCGTGGCTCAGCTGCAGGCCTGGTGGTATAAGGCCGACCCTAACGAGTTTACCTATGAGAGACGCGAGGGGTCGGCAGCATACATTCCATTTGGCCAGGGGGACTTTTACTACCATGCGGCCATTTTTGGAGGGACACCCAGTCAAGTTCTAAACATTACTCAAGAGTGCTTGAAGGGCATCCTGCAGGACAAGAGAAATAACATCGAGGCAGAGTGGCATGATGAGAGCCACCTTAACAAGTATTTCCTTCTCAACAAACCCACTAAAATCTTATCACCAGAATACTGCTGGGACTATCACATAGGCTTACCCTCGGATATTAAAACTGTCAAGATCTCTTGGCAGACCAAAGAGTATAATTTGGTTCGGAATAATGATTGATTTCTTATTAGGCCAGTAGGATTCTAAATTTGAGAGAGTATTACCCTGGCTCTCTCCTCAGAAACATAACACCTAAGTTCAACTTTAAAAATACTAATGGACCCCACACACCGCAGAGGCAGACCACGTCTCCTGGAAAACCTCACGCGAAGGGCTGCGTGGTACCCAGAACCCAGCCCACTGCCCTGGAGTCAGTGCCGGCCCAGGGAACCCGGAATCGGCGGCAATCAGATGTACATGCTCAATGATTTTCATCTATTTGGGGTTTGGGAGAACTATAATCAGAATGTGTTACCAGGGTGGGGGCGGGGAAGCCAGAAACCCTCCACATGTGCCAGCTGCTGTATGGGAGAAGAGAGCGATAAGAATGGCCTTGGCAACAAGGTCCAGTTGTGGGCCGAGGGGCGTTCCCGCTACTTCAATGGCTCCCTTTTCCCGGTGACTCTGAAGCAAGATAGAATTGCTGTGCAGTTAGGGAACTCTTTGGAAGGACCACGAGGATGATCCACATGGACCATCTTCAAAAGATTTCACTAAGCAGCTTGTGTTCAGGTTTTTGTGGTCTTGTGCCCTTCTCTCGTTAGGATGTTGTTTGGCGTGGGTGTAAAAGATGGGTAGAGATTCGCAGTGGATATTAATGACGGTAAATGAACAATCACAAGGATCTGAATGAAAACCACTCTGGAGGGCTTGCTCATCAAGAAGCGGAAACAAGCCCCTCACAGCGAATGAGCCTTCCGTGAAGCAGCAGACGCAGTAGAAAGAGAGGAGGCTGCACGCTGTGGCCAGTGCTACCTCACAGAGGCATGGTGCGTACGGTTAGCCTTGAAACACAACGTGGATGGATCCAGCATTGAGTGAGAATGCGGGCGATCTTCAGCTCCTTCTACCCAGTGACTGCCCAAGGAGCAGGACTTAAATGGAAGTTGCTTCCTGCCCCAGTCATATTTGTGTACCATGCTCTGTAATTTGTGTCTTTAACTCCTTGGTGTCAAAGAAGGCAAAGAGCCGCAGTGGATTGAAGAGGCCTACGAGTCAGGGTGCCCAGACCTGAGCTTCTTCGGAGGACAGTCAGCCATCAGCGTAGCCTGCCACCTTTCTAACCCTCCAGGCCCCGCAGCGTATCATCTCCCACTTGGGGGGCTGACATCCAATAATGGGGCTGGAGCAAAAGCACTCCTATCCAATAACCACTCCTTTTCTCCTGCCCATTCGCACTAACGAAGTATAGGAGCCAGCTGAGTCTCAAGACAAAGTTCACTGGCTGGATAACCAAAACACAAGGGGTTATCAGTGGAAGACCCTATCCATTCATGAAAGAGAGGCCTAATGTTCCATTCCTTTCTCTAAAAGAAGCTAGAAAACCCCAGGTGTTCTTTAATTCATGGTACAGGGAGTTAGAGGGAAACATGTACATATGCACATATTTTCATTTTGCTTCCGTCTTAGTTTAAATCCGTTTTATTCCTTTTATTGCACTGGCTGGATGCACACCCACGCCTCTCTTATCTCTCTATGGTTAGATTCCAAAGCCTAGGATGACTACATCATTGTATCACTGCCAGATCACATCATTTCATGACTGTGGAATGACACCCTTAAATACTGCCAAACCACCGAGAACCATGGCCCAGCCAAGCTGACGTATAGCCGTAACAACCACAGCCATTGTTCATTCCTGCCAGGCAAATATCACGAGGGAACAAAGCAGTCCGGCCCTAGGGGATGTTTTCCTGGCCATAAATTCAAAATGTCAGCCAAAATACTTGATAAGGGAGAGTGGGCGTGTGGGCTATGGGCTTCTTTGATAAATGAAACCTACATTTTCCTCCACTGTTCATTGCTGCCACCTCTTCATCAGTCCGTGCCAGCAAACAAAACAAAACACACAACCCTGAAGAAACATGTTTTCTAGAAAGAAAAAGGAGGCTGCACATGGTTAGGAATCTACTTCTCGGTCGCTCAAGTTGCCCTGGGTCCGGTGGGGAGTAAGCTGGAAGTTCACTGCCACCGCATTGATTCTGACTCAGCCCGGGAGCAGGGGCTTGGGTTTCAGGGCTTCACCAAAGACGTGGATCTTGAGAGGTTAGAGGAAGGGGCTTATGTTTACTTTCGAGGGACTTCGTTGATTTTTTTTCAATTGAATCTCAAATTTGAATGGTTACTCTTTAAGTGTTTAACAAACTCCGTGATTTACATTTGAATAAATTATTTTCTCAGAATCTTCTGGTCATGGATTGTGTATTTTTTCCCAGTCGCAAAATGACAGTGATGAAGTGGTAACGAAAATTGTCAAATTTAGAAGGTTAGATTCTCAGTGACCCTGAAAACACCTTCTGAAAAGGTGTCCCCTACTGTGCGATAGAAGATGCTAGAGATTACACAGCTTTTCCAACAACGAAACTTAAACAGTGCTTTAGGAAGTGGTGTGTTGGGGTAACCAGGTGCTGCTGGAAGAACTAATCAGAAAAGACGTGGACATGTAACAGACACCAGGTGGAAGGAATCAGCCCCATCGTCCCCTGTTAGCTGCCATCAAGTTAGTTCTGACCCATGGAGACCTTGAGTGTGAGAACCAAAGGTTGCCAGATCCGGCACGTCTCTACCACCATGAATAGGCTTGAGTGCATTACCGAGGCCACTGTGTAGCGTCTTCCAGCCTACGGGATGCAGCCCCCAGCACTGCGTTGGACACATCCTCTCATGAACCGTAGGTCTTGGTTAACTTTTGGAAGTAGATTGCCGGGTCTTTCTTTCTAGTCTTAGTCTGGAAGGTCCACTTTAACCTGGTACTTGAAATGCCCATGACACTGAGTCCAGCATCACATCAACATGCCAACTACCACAGGACAGCAAACTGGGAGGTGGGGGTGGCTGGCGGGGGGACGGTGCTTCAAGCCAGACATGAACTAGCTCCCTGAGAATATCCCTGTTGTGTTGTCAGGTGCCGCCGAGTTGATTTGGACTCATAGCAATGCCAGGTGCCCAAGGAGAACCGACCCTGTAGCACAGCGGTTCTCAACCTGTGGGTTGCGACCCTTGGGGGTCGAATGACCTTTTCACAGGGCTCGCCTGAGTCATAACAGTAGCAAAATGACAGTGATGAAGTGGCAACGAAAATAATGTTATGGTTGGGAGGGTCACCACCACGTGAGGAAGTGTATGAAAGGGTCACGGCATGAGGAAGGTTGAGAACCTCTGCCGGAGGGTCTCCTAGGCTGTAATCTTTATGGCAGCTCCTCTTTGTCCTGCGGGGCTGCTGAATGGGTTCAGACCGCCAACATTTTGGTTAGTGGCAGAGCACTTAACCATTGTGCCACCATGCCGCCTTAGGATAACCCTACAAACCCACACCAGACTCACTGCCCTCGAATCAATGCAGACTCACAACCACCCTTGTGGGTTTCTAAGACTATAACTGTTGACAGGAGTAGAAAGTTCCATGTTTCTCCACCGGAGCTGCTGCTGGTTTTGAACCAGCAGACCATGTGGCCTGCAGTCCAATGCATAACCATCTAGAGACTTTGAAAAGAAAGGTGACCAGCTGGAGGAGTGAGACACGTGTGATGTGCCACAGGGCCTGGCTCTCTTACAGGAGGGGGTGCTTTCACCCTCACAGACGCACAGAGTGAGACTGAGGAAGTCCGAGTGAGCGACGCTGAGAAGAACCAACAGGCCGACACGGTCCAACCCGAGGGTCTGTTTCACATCAAGGTTATTTCCAGGATATAGCAAAGAATCTTTAAAAAAGAAGAATCCTAAAATCATGCGTATTTTCAAACCTCAGTGAGTTGCCAGCTCTGTACCACCCCATAAGCATTAAACCTGGCCCAAATATATCAAAATATATCAAAAAAGCTAAATGCATCGTGTGAAACAAAAACAAAAGATGTTATTATCCTTATCTTTTCATAGTCGTGAACATTGAAGGCATGTGGAGCTGCATCTCCCAGACTGGGGCCAGACCCACTAGGGGCCACGGAGGTGGGAGGAAGGAAAGCCGCATCTCCTCCAGGTCTAAGCTGGGCACCACTTGCAGCTGCAAGGGCAAACGACTTTGTTCAAGTCCCAAAGGGTCTGTCTTCTCTCAGTCACTGAAATGATACACCTTTGCTCTTTTCCAGAGGTGTCGGGAGACTTACTAATGAGGGGGCCACAGCTGGGGCAATGCTTCGCATTAAAGTTCCCTATTTATTAAATGCTCCCATGTAAATGAATAGCACAGGCACGACAGCACACTCAAAAGCATAGTAAGAACGAGGGCATACCATTAGGCACACTTTTTTTTAATGCATACATTGTAAGGATTGAAGAAAATAGGGCCAACTATGGATGCATTAGTCAAAGATCTAAAAAGGTGTGGAGCTAGACTTCACACCCAGAGCTGCCTGATAGTAAAGCCTGTGTTCTTTCCTCAATTATCTAGCTCTGGGGGAGGAATGGGCGACACATTGCACTGTTAACTGCAAGGTCAGCAGTTTGAAACCGCTAGTTGTTCCGTGGGAGAAAGATGAGACTTTCTACTCCCCAAAAGAGTTAAAGTCTGAGAAACCTGCAGGAGCCGTTCTGTCTACTCTGTCCTTATAGGCTCAACCACGTGCGGGAATCTACTCGATGGTAGTGAGTTGGTTTGAGGCTCCCTCCTTCCCTTAAAACTTCTCTTTTTTCAAATTGGGGACACCATGAGAACCGTCATCAAAAGTTCTCAATTCTTTTGACAAGCATAAGAGAGGCATTCACGTTTTTGAAAGAGGTCCGATAGGACTGCAATGAATGAGATGAGACAAAATGTGTATGAATGGCTGAATGCAAAATTAATTCTCTGCAAGCCTTCACCCAGTCCACAATAAAAATTTTTAAAAGGCCCTCAATGCGATGGATTGAGGTATAGTGGTTGCAACAATGGGGCAAACAGGAAGAAGGGTGAAAACAGTGTGGGAATGGACAGTGCGAGGCAGTTGTGGATATGTGATAGAGCATTCTCACAGCTGCCCCTGGGATGGGTCTGTTCCTTTAGGTTCAAATAACTCTCTGAGATGATCCTCCTTTCAATAGGCTATTGTTAACTGCTGTCAATGTGACCTCTGACTCATAGGGTTCAAATATATATTAAAATCTTTAAGTCTGAGGAAGTTTTAAAAGGCAGGGGTAGGTCTAAATCCATTGTATAGTCAAACTGGAGAAGCAGGACAATGAGACCTGATCAGGTACAGGTACGAAGGGTGGCAGATGGAAAGCTATCTGGGCAGGTGGAAATAGCGGCAGAGGCGCTGACTCAGCTGAGCTTTGGAAGGAGGGAAGCGGGTGGTGGAGAGAAGAGGAGCTGAGGTGGGCGAGGTTTCAGAGCAACACCTGCCGACAGCACAGAAAATGTAAACAGACATTTTTGGGAATTCTCCCAAACAGGGCCAAGCCTCTCAGGCTGGATGAAATCACCTGGTGGATCCTGTGTGGAGAACGAAGCCCATGCCAAGGTTTTGGCTTCTAGAGGGGCCCTCTCTCCCATTCAGCCAGCACTGGCAGTTCTCTCCCATCCAGGACCCATCGTCTTCTTTGGGGGAATCTCTGTGGTGCAGTGGTTATGCACTGGTCAGCTAACGGCAAAGTCAGCAGTTTGAAACTACCGGCCACTCTTGGGAGGAAGACTTGGCTTTCTACTCCCATAAACAGCTACCGTCTCAGAAACCCAC